ACAGGCCATCTGGAGATTTTCGTAAGTGACCAAAAGATTTTCACAAACCCACCAACCAACATAGAATTTTTTACAGCCTCCCTCCTACATATCACCATCTACAAAAATCATGGTTAAAATGGCAATCTTTATTATTTTTAATTAAATATTAAGAAATATTTTGTGGGATTAGCTTGATTTATATATTTTCTTTAAAAACCGTTAAATTGATTTGTTTATTTTGAAAGCTTCTGATACAGCAACAAAATAATATTTCTTAAGCGGGAATGAAATTTTATGATATGCCTAATATTAAACGTGTTGTTTTGGTAAAAAGTCCTTATTATGGCACATAATTTTTAAAATCTAAATATATCATAAGTAATGAATTAAGACAATGTTTTTATCAAATTATATATCGCTTTAAATTAGTTATAAGTTAAGTAGTAACTAATAAATCATGTTATCACATATATTTTAATGATTCTACTCTTGTTTATTAATCGTGTATATACTATATACATACTTAATTTATCTGTTTTCACTACTAATAAATAAAAGAGAAATACCAAAATAAATTGTATTCCTTGTTTAAAGAAAAATGATAGAAAAACATTTGTAAGAAAAGGTCCCTTACTCTCAACACTGTAATAAAAAGCAGAAGCTCAACCCTCTGTATATGTCCCGAGACGACTCGGTTCTTAGATTGTCAAACCCTAGCATTCTCTCTTTCTCTCTCTAACTTTTCTCCGCCATGGCTTCACGGAGGCTAGCTGCCTCCCTCATCCGCTCCTCCCTCCACCGATCATCAACCAGATCTCCATTTACTCACTCCACCAGAGCCGCACGCGCACTATCCCAATCACACCCTTCTCCTACCGGTTACTTTCTTAACCGTGTAGTCAACTACGCTACTTCTGCCGCCGCCGCTCCGACCAAGCCAGCTGCAACAACCCCTGGTGAAGGATCTAACTATGGAAAGATCACTGACGAATTCACCGGAGCCGGCGCGATTGGACAGGTGTGCCAGGTGATTGGTGCTGTCGTCGATGTGAGATTCAGCGAAGGATTGCCGCCGATCCTTACGGCGTTGGAGGTTTTGGATAACTCGATCAGGTTAGTTTTGGAAGTGGCGCAGCATTTGGGGGAGAATATGGTTAGGACTATTGCTATGGATGGTACCGAAGGGCTTGTCCGTGGTCAAAGAGTTCTCAACACCGGTTCTCCTATCACTGTAAGTTTTTTCTCGATCTCAAAAAAATCAGATCATTTTAAGAACACGATCCGATTTTGTCTGGATTTCTCGTTCGAGATCCAGTACTTTATCATTTTTGTAGCCTGTTGGTTTATGGTTCAGATCGGTAAAGTCAACATGTTTAATTGTAGCCAAGTTTTCTGTATGCCATTGTATATGGTGATTTAACACTATTGCGCAATGATCCATGGAGCTAATCAGCTAATTCAATGTCATTGTAGGTACCTGTTGGTAGAGCAACCCTTGGTCGTATCATTAACGTCATCGGAGAGCCAATTGATCATAGAGGCGATATTAGTAAGTGTAGCATGTCTTTCATCCATTCCTAACGTATTAGTAATTTAGTATCTTAACCTTTTGATTCTTTTCAACAGAAACCGACCACTATCTGCCAATCCATAGAGAAGCACCAGCTTTCGTTGAGCAAGCAACTGAGCAACAGATCCTTGTCACTGGAATCAAGGTTGTAGATCTTCTTGCTCCATACCAAAGAGGAGGAAAGATTGGTTTATTCGGTGGTGCTGGTGTAGGAAAAACTGTTCTCATCATGGAACTTATCAACAATGTTGCCAAAGCCCATGGTTAGCAGATAGATACTACAACACTTTTCAGTTTTCACCACATTGATTTGTAATACATTTCACCACATTCTTAATTTTTTATGAACTCTCGTATGTTTTCCCAGGTGGGTTTTCCGTCTTTGCTGGTGTTGGAGAACGCACACGTGAGGGTAACGATCTTTACAGAGAAATGATGGAAAGTGGTGTCATTAAGCTAGGCGATAAACAGGTTCACCATTTTCTTACTTTTTTACTATCTTATTTCAATGTTATGAATGTTATAATCTAATGTATGTTTTCATGTTTGTAGAGTGAGAGCAAGTGTGCACTTGTGTATGGTCAAATGAACGAACCCCCAGGTGCCCGAGCTCGTGTTGGGCTGACCGGACTGACCGTAGCTGAACACTTCAGAGATGCTGAAGGCCAAGATGTGCTTCTCTTTATCGACAACATCTTCCGTTTCACCCAGGTGTGTGTTTTTCAATTTCTCTTCTTTTCAAGTTCCAACAGTTTAACTCAACAAGGGCAAATTGGTCTTAAAGTTTATATCTTTTGACATCAGGCAAACTCTGAGGTGTCTGCTTTATTGGGTCGTATCCCATCTGCTGTTGGATACCAACCAACTTTAGCTACTGATCTTGGAGGCCTTCAAGAACGTATCACCACAACCAAAAAGGGTTCAATCACATCTGTTCAAGCTATCTATGTCCCTGCTGATGATTTGACCGATCCTGCCCCTGCCACCACCTTTGCTCACTTGGATGCCACTACTGTGCTATCCCGACAGGTAAAAGGGTATTTTAGTCATTTTGTCATCTGTTGTATAACTTTATGACACTGGTTTAACTGAATTACAGATTTCTGAGCTTGGTATCTACCCTGCTGTGGACCCACTTGATTCCACATCGCGTATGCTGTCGCCCCACATTTTGGGAGAAGATCATTACAACACGGCTCGTGGGGTCCAGAAGGTTCTTCAGAATTACAAGAATCTTCAAGATATTATTGCTATTTTGGGAATGGATGAGCTTAGTGAAGATGATAAGTTGACTGTTGCACGTGCTCGTAAGATTCAAAGGTTTTTGAGTCAACCCTTCCATGTTGCTGAAGTTTTCACTGGTGCCCCTGGTAAATATGTTGAACTCAAGGAGAGCATTGCTAGTTTCCAGGTGAGTTTAGTAAATTACATAATTACCCCCCTTAGTTCCCCCCTTAGTTCTTGTCTTGTTAAAAATATTGTGGAAATTTGATGTTGATGTTAATCTCAGGGAGTGTTGGATGGGAAGTATGATGATCTTTCAGAACAGTCGTTTTATATGGTTGGAGGAATTGATGAAGTTATTGCGAAAGCTGAGAAGATTGCTAAGGAATCTGCTGCTTCTTCTTAGATGTGATGAAATATTATTGTTGTGATAGAGTTGAGATGAAAAAAGAATGAATAATTTTTATTGATATGGTGCTGGAAGCGCCGGGAGTTTTTTTTTTTATTTTGAGAAAACTGAGATTAAGTTGGGATTTTTTTTTGGATCCCTGTTTTTTTGAGTTTTAATGCAATGAAATGGATGCCAGCAAAATCCCTATTTCGGCTTTTGTTGTTGGATAATAATAAGAAGAGGGATATATGTGTTGGGAATTGGAATTTGTATAGTTGCTCATTTTGATTTTCCAGACATCTGTTGAAATTTGTCTTCATATTTCCTATGAACTTGATAAAAGGTCGAAATTGGATATTTAACTCGGTGAGTTGAAGCGGGTTATAGATGTAGTTTAAAATATAAAGTTAATGAGAAAGTTAAGAGATGGTAAGTAATCATGAAGTTTAACAAATAAAAAGTCACTTGGTACTTTTTTGTATGAATAAATCTTTTCTGGAACAAGATGAAAGCTAGAATCCCTATAAATCTGCCAAGAATCAAGATCACGCTGCGATGGCATATTGGCAACCAGTTCTTAATGGATAAGCCCATTTCCAGAAGTCCACTCTTTTTGTTAACAGCTTGTTTGCAATAGTTTAAATGATTAGGCCCAAAAACCTTTTAACATTTTACTAAGCTTATGGACCCATTTATGGAGGCCCACTCTTTTGGTGGGGTTAGAACCGTAGAAGTGAAGACAAAAAAACCGGTTTGAGAAAAAAACACAAAACTGAACCGGAGCCGGTTCTTAGGAAAATAAGTCTAGCTTAAGCCGTTATATGGTCTTAGGTTTCTAGTCATTTGATCCGGTTTGAGAAACCAATTCACAGAACAAACTACCCATTGGTTTTTCTTTATAATCTTTTAACTATTTTGGTTCAAAAAATGCTCCTTTTGCACCTCTATGTTAACTATAAATAAGTTTCGGTTGTGTTTCATCACCGTATCACTCAAAAAGTCATTTAATCTTGTAATGCATGATTATTTTCGCAATCAGTTTTTTTTTTTTTTTTTTTTTAATAAGCTATCACCATCCCAAGGGATACTTCAAAGTTAAACGCATAAAAAATGCAAAACTATGATTCTGTTTGTTTGTTTGTTTATTTTTATTGGCAAAACATCTTTTTAACCTTTTATATTTGTAGTTGAAAGACATTTAAAGAAAAAAATATTTGTTTTTCAGAAGACAAAAAACATAAAAAAGTTTTTTTGACATATTTTTCCAAAAGACAAAAATTTTATGATTTTGAAAAACTTTTTCTAAGTTCTAACTCTAATATGATATTTCTTTTTCCACCACTATTATTGACGCCATTGCCGCCACCGCCGCCGCCACCACCACCACCACCACCGCCATGTCTTTTTATTAAAACTTTAAAAAACAATCAATCTTTTTTAGGAAGACTAAAAATATGGAAAAAAAAACTTTAGATCCACATCTTATTTTGCATACATACAAAAAAAAAAAAAAAAAAAAAAAAAAAAAAAAATATAT